TTGAGGCCTCTCACTACTCCCTCTGGAGAAGAGGAGGAACTTCCCAATTTCAGGGAGGATGCACCCCCCCCCGGAGGATTGGATGTTGAGCCAGAGCGTGGCTCTTAGTTGATTGCTTTAAAGAGAGCGCCAGGACTTTTGAAAGCGGGGACTCATGCTCAGTTTAGCTGGGAAAGGACCTGGCCCTAAACAGCTGCAATGAGTAGCAGGTGAAGTCTAAAGTGGAGCCCTTAGGACAGCGTCCCAGAATGGTGTAATCTTAGCCAGGGAACCACATGGGAAGCTCAGACCTTGCATTGCTCTGGCTGAGCTGAGGTTTGAGGGAAAACCTAAGTAAGCACAGAGTCTGACTCCTAGCAATGCATCTAGGTTGAACGAAGGGGACATGCTTTTCTCAATCCTATCTGCGTTGCCCTTGGTGTTCAGGAACAAAATTCTGAGTTGTGTGGTGTCTGGGGTGGGGTAGGGGCCAGGGTGGCGGCGGGCGCAGTGAGCATGAGTGTGCCATGAAGGTTTCGTGGAAGAAGATGTCCCTCAGCTTTTGAAGAATGGGTAGGATGTCAGTATGCACGAAGAAGGAGGATTTTCCAATCATAGGGCATTTTTAAGGAGAAGAGAGGGAATTGTTAGGGGATGTCCTTGAGAGTAAGGATTGTCTTTTGCCTTTCTTTGTGTCCCTAGAACTTAGCATAGTGCTTGGCACAAAGATGTCACTTAATATGTGTTTGTTGACTGAATTCAGTTTGTGAAGGGGTATTACAGTAAGGTTGTAGATTGGAACCACGTGGGTATGGTCTGTCCTTACTTAGCTATGGAGTACCAGGAATGGCTTTTGAGAAGAGAAATAATGGGATTAAGCCTGTGCTTGGAAGGGGTCCCAGAGACTTCTATCCATTCTAAATTGAAACTCCTTTACCATATTCCTGAAAAGAGATTCCTTCAGCTTCTTCTTGAAGATGACTACTGGCAGAGAACTCATTACTGTCTCCTAAATTAGCCCATTCCATTTTTGAATAACATCTAATTGTACACTAGATTCAGTTTTTCTGTAGCTTTGACCTATTTGCCTTAGTTTTGACTTTGTGTGGCTAAGTAAAGCAAATTAATCTGCTATATGACAGCTCTTAAGATAGTTGAATATAATGATCATAGAGTTCATGAATTTTCTCTCAGCAAATATCTCCAGTTTCCTTATTAATCCTCATATGGCATTGATTTGAGCCCCATTACCTTTTTGACTGATAAGCTAATACATGCACATTCAGAATGGCAATGCATTCTTAAGATGTGTCAGGTGGTCTGATTTGACCAGCTTTTAGCTCATAGTAGTCAACTGATAAATCCTCGTTGATTAGCTACAGTGGGTCTATTGCTTTCCTTGTTCTGGAACCTAATGTAGCTCTCCCAAACCCCCAGGTTTTTTCCCTTCAGATCATCAGGAGTTAAGTCAACAAGCATTTATTAAGCACTTCCTGTGTGCTAGGCACTGTGCTAAGTGCTTAAATCATAGGAATATTCTTCTGAAATAGTGTTTCCCCAGAGCTTCTGCTTGTGGTAATGGAGATCTAACTTGCTTTGATGTGTGGGTAGTATTCTCAAACATCAGGTTTTGCCTTGTTGCCCTCTGATCCAACTTTACCAGTGATGTTAAAACTTGGGTGGTTCTCTTTATCGCCTTCTCTTCTGAAAGGTGAAATTCTCAATGCACATCAAGAATTTGAGATGTTTGGTTTAACAGACATTGAGGGTGGCAACCCAAACTTTGCACAATGCATAGTAGTTGCAATGACTCTCTTTGATCATTAATGTCAGGAACATATGTGCTTACTACAGGTGTTCAACTTTGTCCTGGAAGAGATCCAATTGCAGATAGATTTCACATCAAAGGAGGGTTTCCTAGAGATGATGAGATCCAGATGCTCTTGTTTGCTGATGATGTTGTGCTGGTTGCATTAAGCTTCTGAACATTGCAGACATTTATTCCCTGATTGAGATCCATCGTAACTCAAAAAAAAAAACTTGGCCTAATCATGAACACAGGAACAATCAAATGGATGAAGAATGCTTATTGCCCAGAATATGATAATTGGACAAACTGTAGAACTGTTCATCAGTTTACAGATCTTGAACAAAAATGGGGAACAGACACTGAGTTGCCTGGAAATAAATAGTATAAGAATGGACTAGAATGCCTTTGAAAAATAAGTTCTTTGAATGACCCAAAATTCTCCCTGAAACCAAGGCCTGTCTTTCTAATATTTACCAATCTTCTCCCAGAGTTTTTATTGGTTGTGGGTCATGGTACACTAGTCTCTGAAGAAGTGAAAATTATTATCATTACTGTATGAGGAAAATGGAGAGATCTATGGTACATATGAGTAGGCTACATCATACCAGAAATAGGAAATTATAGGCCTTAAGACAGACCTTTTCTTCTTGACCTTAGCCACCCAAAAAAGGCAAATCTGAAAATATTTCTTAATATTTTAGAGAAACTGAAAGGAGGTTTGTAATATGCTTCCAGAGTTCGTTCTTGGATCATATTCTTCCTTACTTTCAGTTTTATTAATCTCTCCTTTGATTTTCAGGATTTCCAATTTGGTGTTTAATTGGAGATTTTTAAATTTTCCAGTTTTTTTCTAGGTTTTTGTTTTGGTCAGTTGCATGCCCAATTCATTGATCTGTTCTTTCTCTATTTTACTGATATAAGCATTTAGAGATACATATTTGCCCCCGAGTACTGCTTTTGCTGCATCCTAAATTTTGGCATGTTGTCTCATTGTTACCATTTTCTTTAATGAAACTATCGATTGTTTCTATGATTAGTTCTTTGACCCACTTGTTTTTTAAGATTAGATTATTTAGTTTCCAATCAATTTTTAATCTCTATTTCTATTGCCTATTATTGAATGCACTTTTTATTGAATTATGATCTGAAAAGGATACAATTAGTAGAACGTGTTCTTCCAAGCTCAGCACACTGGTTTTTTTTTTGTCATATTCTCATCTCAGCCCTCCCCCTCTTCTGCTGCCCTGAAAGTAATCTGGTAGCAGTGTGTAAGGTAGATTTGGAGTAGGGAGATTTGTTATGAAGCTGTTGTAATAATCCAAGTAAGAGGGCCTTAACTGTCAGAATGAAAAGGAAAGCACAGACATAGGAAATATTTTAGAGTTCAAATTAACAGGGTATGGTGGTTGGTTGGTTGGATGTAGGAAGGGAGTGGAAATTCACATTTGTATAGGGGCCTAAAATTTTAGTGCAGTTTTAAGCTTCTGTCAGTTTAAAACTGTACTAAGACTTTTGGGACACCCTATATATTGTAGTATGGTATGCAAAACCACACGATCTTTCTCTCTTAGGTGACTGAGAGTGGGGAAGTCAGGAGAAAGAGGCAGATTTTAGAGTAAGATGATGTTAGGTTTTAGGTGCATTGATTTTTGAATGCTTGTGGGATATGCCACATGAAGAAATGGCAAATTTAGGTACTCATTCTCTCTTACCTGGGTAACTATCTCCTGAGAATGTTGTAGATGGAATTAATCCTTCAGATAGAAGGGAGTTCCTTCTGTTGCAGTCTGAGAGGTTGAGACCCAGTGACTGGAGTATAGGATGGGGTAGTACGGAATTAATTCACAGACTGAAGCATTCTTTGAGTCAAGGTGGCAAAGATTTATTGTGACTCTATCCAGTGGGCAGAGGTCCTTAAGGAATTCTGCCATGGTGGACAGAGCTCCTTAGGGAACTTACAAGCAAACAGGAATGACGCTAAAGTTTATTTAGGAAAAGCAGTAGATTATGTGCCAAGTATGCTAATTAAGTGATAACATACAAGTATGTCATTCACTACTGGAAACTTTGGGGAGGGGGGCAGAGAGGGTTCCTAAAGGATATATTTTTGATCTGTTATGTCTGTAACAAGATCGTTTCAGGAATTGAAGTCTGTAGTTTGACCTCTGGATTGTGTATGGTAACTGTGGACATCAGTACTTGATAGTTCTGCTGGTACAAGAGAGTCCTGTTCATACAAGGGAAATTCTACTGAGGTCAGCTTGTCCTTGTAACAGGGAGAGATAGTTTGCCTCACTGGGCCCACTGATGAGTTATTGCTGAAGATAGGGTCTTTGGGCAAGAGGGAAACTGTCAGGGGTAGTGCCTTGAGGTCAGGGAGAAATTGAGGTCCAAGCACTCCATCATTCCCCCCTTAAACAATATTTTGGTGTTTATGGGACCTTTATTTCTGTCTTTGACTTCTTTGGGATATATGTATAGTGGTGAGTTCTCTGGGTCAAAGGGTATGAACATTGCTTTCTTTTTCTTTTTTTTTTAAACACAATTCCAAATTGCTTTCCAGAACTGTTGGACCAAATCGCAGCTCCAATACCAGCAAAGACACCAACAGTGTATTGAAGTACCTGTTTTTTTCATATTTCCAACTTTTGTCATCTTTGCCCAATTTGCTGAGTATAAAATGAATCCTCAGAATTGTCTTCATGTGCATGTCTCTTCTTAGTGATTTGGAACAATCTTTCAAGTGGCTCTTAGTATTTGTGCTTCTTTTGAGAACTGTTGGTTCATATCCTTTGACCACTTAATCTGTTTAGGCCTATAACATGGTCTTATATATTTGGGTTATTTCATGGGTAAGTCATACACCTTCTCTAAGCCTCAGTTTCCTCATCTATAAAATGAGGAAAACAGTGTCTGCCATACTTTACTGCATGGGATCATTGTGAGGCTCTAATGAGAAATTTGCATATAAGGTGCTTTGCAACTTTAAAGACCTCTCAATGTTAGCTATTATTTTGGATAAAGGGGAGTTTGTAATAAGGGCATTTCCTTTTCCTCTTTTATCAAATCATTGACATTGTGGGAACATCTTGGGAGCTAAATTGTAGATGGAGAAATAAATTATCCCTGTAATAAGAATGCCTTGATTCCTATGAGTGGATGCGATACACTGGTCAATCTGGCAAGTCATTTTTTTTTTTTTGCTGCTTAGTGAAGTCTTGGTGGAGGACTCAACAGCCTGTTTCTATAAAGCTTTGGCCAAACTCCAAGAAATCTGGGACTCAATCGGGATTCCAGAGGATCAGAGGCTTCAACGTGTCCAAGTGAGTGGAGCTGTGACCTCCCTTGTGGCCTCAGGGCTTTGTCTTCACATATGCTGACACTGGATGTATACCGCCAATCTGACTTCTGTGAAGGTGTTAGTGTCGACATCATAGGCTTTGTCTGTTGTAAGGATCCTCTATTCTTGAAATACTATTAAGTTTTTTTCTTTTTTTCTCTAAACCTCTAACCACTCTTTAGTATTCTATGGACTGATTCTCTTTTGCTGTAGAGCCTCCTGGATATGATGATTGCAGAGGAAAAAGCCTGAAGGAAAGGCTCCTAAAAAGAATTGATTCTTATCGAAAAGAGCAGGACACTCTGATCAAAGAGTTAAAATTGGAACCATTTCTGGTAAGTCTTTTTTTTTTTTGGCAAGGCATTAGGGGTTAAGTGACTTGCCCAGGGTCACATAGCTAGTAAGTGTCATGTGTCTAAGGCCGGATTTGAAATCAGGTCCTCCTGAATCCAGGGCCGGTGCTCTATCCACTGTACTACCTACCTACCCCATAAGTCTTATACTAAATACAGTCTCTAAGGATTTAGTTATCAATGGTTGATGCTGAGGATCAAGACCAGGCCATCCCTAAACCTAAACCTGTAGCTCTGCCTGACTTTCTGAACTTCAGATACACTTTTCCATCTGCTCGCTTGATACAGCCATTTTAGATATCCAGCTGTTACCTCAAATTCAGTATGTGAAAACTGAACTCTTCCCTCCTTACCTTATTCCTCTTCATCTCTTTTAACAGTACCACCATCCTCTCTCTCTTGCTCAACTTCAAAACCTTGGCTGCCTTTCCTTATTCTCTTGCTCCTCACATCTAATCATGTAACAAAGCAGTTTTATGATCTCTTCCATCCTTTTCCATTCCTTCCTATGTACCTCCATCATGCTGGTTCAGGGTCTGGACTTATTGCAATTCTCTCAGTTTCCAGCACTCGCATTTTCTAATCAATACTACATACCATTTTTAGTCCTCTTCCCAAAGCGTAGCTCTAAACATGTCACTCTCCTGTTTAATATATTTTTTTCAACCTTTACCTAAACTCCAAATTCATTAGTGTGGTGTTCAAAGTTTTCAGCTGGTATGGCCCTAATCTACCTTTCCAGTCTTATATCTTACCATTCCCCTTCATGCACCTTATGTTTCAGTCAAATTAGTCATTTGCCCCTGTGTATGTCCTCTTCTTACCCAACTCTGTTTCTTTGCTCAGGCTGCTTTTCCATCCATAATGTCCTTCTGTCTGTCTACCTTTCCCTCCTCTCCTTGAAATCCTATCATTCAAATGCCATCTTCTAGAAAACTTTTCCTTTTTGTCTCTCTCTCTCTCTCTCTCTCTCTCTCTCTCTCTCTCTCTCTCTCTCTCTTTTTGTTCCTATATCATTTAGTTTGAACTTAGTTTGCAACTAAGACAAGATGTAATAAATTCTACTTATGAAAATGCCTTATCTTTCCTACTTGATTAGAAGCTATGGAAGGGACCTTTGTATCTCTCTAGGGAGGCCTACTGCAGAGGATTGCAGTTGAATAAATGCATGTTGAGGTGAAAGACAGAGTGGGAAGAGCTCCTTGTGGAAGCTGATTCTTCAGCTTGTTGGGAAACAGATGTGATGTGTGATGCCACCCTCTGATGTGACAGAGAACTAGAAAAAAGTCTGCCGCATAAAGTTTTTTTTTATGGTTCTTGATATGCTGAAACCTCCAATTGGGAGTGAAGTGGGACAGGGATAATTGTCAGAGAACTAAAACAGTTACATGTTTATACTGTGAAGATACTATAATGTATATAATATGAATATACTATCATAATACAAACGTATAAATAATACAAATATTATAATAACACAAATAAATTAGATGAAACTACTCCCTGCCTAACCTGAAACCTAAAACCTCAACTTCAGAATCTGAGGGTTTGCTGTACCAGGTTCCAAGGCAGGCCAGATCAGGTCAAGAACTATATTAGTTGGCTGAAGAACACAACAAAGACCAGTACTAGTAGATAAAAAGTTAACATTTTTTTTGGTGAGGTCTAGTCATGTGATTTCATTGGTTTAGGAAACAACCAATGAGGAAACTCCTGGTGACAGAATGGTTCTTCTATAGTGTTCTAAGGACACAAGTGACTTGCCCAGGTCACATAGTTATTAAGTGTTTAAGATAGGATTTGAACTCAGATCTTTTTGATTTTTTAAAGTCCATTACTCTGTCCACTAGGAAGGAGGGAAATAAGCATTTATTTGCCTACTATGGCCCACTATGTCCCAGGCACTGTGCTAAGTGCTTTACTAATATCACTTTTGATCGTCTCAAGAACCTTGGGAGGGGGTGCTATTATTATCCACATTTTACAGTTGAGGAAAACGAGGCAGACAGAGATTCAGTAACTTGCCCAGAAAAACACAGCCAGTGTCTGAGGCTGAATTTGAACTTGGGTCTTCCTGACTTCAGGCACAACTCTATGTCGTGCTGCCTCTCTAAATTAGAATTCAAACATAAAATTAAAATGGGGTGAAGCTAGAATAATAAATAGACAGATTAAATAATACTTAGGGATAAAAGAAGTCTGATAATATATTTGAAATGCTCTCTCTGCTCTTCACTAGGAGGAACTAAGTAATGTCAGGGTACATAGGTGAGATGAACCTGGAAGTTTAGCACCAAATCCTATTATTGCCTGACCTAGAGGCAATTGTTTCCCTTGTTTTCTTAAGAGGTAGAAGTGGTATAATTGTGGAAAAGACTGGCTCTGATTGTATGGGCATTGGAGTCTATTATCCCTGTCACCTGTCATCTGACATCACTCCTTCCCTTCTCAGCTAAACCTGAAAAAGCCGTCTACAGAGTACAGTACCTGGACTTGCCCTTCTAAACCCATCCATTCTCACTCCTGACCTCATTCAGCTGAAACTACTCTGTCTAAAGTTACCAATGACCTCCTAATTGCCAAATCTAACAGCCTTTTCTCTATCCTCATCCTTCTTGACATCTCTGCAGCCTTTGACAGTGTCAATCACCTCCTGGATATTCCTTCCTTTCTGGATTTTCCTGACAGTAAGAATTTTCTCTCATCTGTCTGGCTGTTCCTTCGCACTCTGCTGAGCCTTTATTCATGACCTACCTATTAATTGGTTGTCCTCCAAGGATCTGTCCTAGGCTCCCTTATCTTTTCTCTCTACACTCTCTCACTTGGTCATCTCAGCAGCTCCAATGAGTTCAATTACCATCCATCCTGATGGTTCTACAATCTAATTGTATACTTTAACATCTCTTGATCTCCCAGTCTTCATCTTCATCCATAATCATCTGCCTATTGGGCATCTTGAATTCAACATATCTAAAACAGACTCTTCGTCTTTTCTTCAAATCATCCCTCTTCCAGATTTCTCCACTGTTGTCAAGAGCAACAATATTCCCCCAGTCACCGACTCTTGCAACTTTGGTGTCATCCTTGACTCCTCACTCTCACTCACCTTACGTATCCAATCAGTTGCCAAATTTTATCACTTCTATTTCCACAATATCTCTTATATATGACCCCATCATCCCCCATTGCACTTACACAACCACCTTCCTAGTTTAAGCCCCATCACTTTTTACCCAGAAAACTGAAATAGCCTTCTTTAAAAATTTTTTAAATTAATTTTCATTTTCAACATTCACTTCCATAAGATTTTGAATTCTAAATTTCCTCCCCCTCCCTCCTGCCCAATATGGCATGCAATCTGATATAGGCTCTAACATATACATTCGTATTGAACATATTTTCACATTAGTCATGTTCTAAAGAAGAATTAGAACCAATCTAATGGAAGAACCACAAGAAAGAAGAAATAACCAAAAAAAGAGAGCAAATAGTATTGCTTTGATCTGCATTCAGATTCCATAGTTCCTTCTCTGGATGTAGACAGACAGCATTTTCCATCATGAGTCTTTTGGAGTTGTCTTACATCCTTGCATTGCTGGGAAGAGCTAAGTCTATCAAAGTTAGTCACTGCACTATGTTGTTGTTACTGTGTACATTGTTCTCCTGGTTCTGCTCACTTCACTCAGCATCACTTCCTGTAATTCTTTCCAGGTTTTTCTGAAGTCCACTTGTTCATTATTTTTTTTTTATGGATCAGTGGTGTTCCATTACATTCATATACCACAACCTGTTCAGCCATTCCCCAATTGATTGGCATCCCCTCAATTTCCAATTCTTGGCCACCACAAAAAGAGCCGCTATAAATATTTTTGTACATGTGGGTCTTTCCCCATTTGTATGATCTCTTTGGGATACAGCCCAAGAAGTGGTATTGCTGGGTCAAAGGGTATGCACGTTTTTGTAGCCCTTTGGGCATAGTTCCAAATTGCTCTTCAGAATGGTTGGATCAGTTTACAACTCCACCAACAAGGCATTACTGTTCCAATTTTCCCATATTTTCTCCAACATTTATCCTTTCCCTGTTTTGTCATGTTGGCCAATCTGATAGGTGAAAGGTGGTAACTCAGAGTTCCAATAGCCTTTTAGTTGGTCTTCCTTCCTCAAGTCTCTTCCTGTTCCAATCCATCCTCCACACAGCTGCCAAAGCACTTTTCCTAAAGCATAGGTCTGAACCCCTCCCCTACTCAGTAAATTCCAGTGGCTCCCTGTTAGGTCTGGGATCACATATAAGCTGCTCTTTTTGGTATTTAAAGCTCTCCATAACCTGGCCCTTTCCTACCTTTCAAGTCCCCTGTGCACATCTTTTGGTCTAGACGTACCGGCTTCCTTGCTGTTCATAACATGTTGTGCCCCAGCTCCTTTGCACCTGGCTGTACCCCATGTCTAGAATGCTCTCCCTCCTCACCTTTACCTTCAAGACTCGGCTCTAACACTACCATTCTTGGCTAGACCTTCCTCAGCAAGTCCCCTGGTGGTTTAGGTTTAATAGTGGAACAAAAGGAGACAATCATATATCATTTGACAGTTAACAAATGAAGATTTACTTAGTCATGTGAAGAGAAGGATATTCAATAGGGATGGGCATTGAAGATGCCTCAAATTGATTCAGTTGAGAGAAGCTCTCTTGCCTGAATCATCCTTCATGTTCTACCAACATCAGAGCTCCCATAACTCCTAGCAGTTAATTTGTATACAGGTGACCAAGATCTAAGTAGGCAGGTGGCTCAGTGGATAAGGTACAGGGCCTTGAGTCAAGAAGACTGGAGTTCAAATCTGGCCTCAGACACTCACTAGCTGTGTGACCGTGGGCAACTCACTTAGCCTCTGCTTACCTCAGTTCCTCATCTGTAAAATGATTTCAAGAAGGAAATGGCAAACCATATCAGTATCTTTGGTAAGAAAACCCCATATGGGGTCACAAA